GCCTGCTGGTGCCTGAGCACAGGGAGGGATGTGTCCACTCCATGTCCTGCACAGGACACATCCATCCTGTGTGTCCTGCTCACTGAGGCTGAGGCACAGCAAGGAACTTGTTTTTGGCAAGTCAGAAGGTGGGTTTCTCCTGAAGTTATATGAAATGACCAAATAGAATGTGTTTGTGGGAGAAAAAATTACTTGAGAATATTGGACTTGTTCTTGCAGCTGCATATTTATGAAATTGCTGAATTAGTTTAAAACCTTATATAATGGTATAGTCCAAGATTTCCTGCAAACTTATATATTTACTTCTATTTCTTTTAGTCCTAATACCCTTAGGACACTCTTTCCTTCAACTGTCTCTTCACATAGATAGATTTTGGTCTTTAATTAAAATACCATCATATTTTGACAACAATTCCAAGTAAGAACCCATCATTTTATTTTTACTTTTGTTTATACTGAGCAGTTGTGAAATACTTAATTATACATTTTGTATGGCTTCCCCAGCTCTAACAGAAAATCTCTTTTGTCCTGTCTCTTTCAATACACAAATGCAACTAAGATTATTCAAATAACCCTATTCACTGGAATGACTATGATTAGCAATGTGATGAGAATCTAATTGTAAGAAATATGCTAATGTTTAATTTATTTTTTACTGAGCTACTTTGAGGATTTAAAAGGCAATTTATATGCGTTAGTAATAGTAATGATGAATTATTAGATAAATTAATGATGAATTTGTGGATAGATAATATAGATAGATATATTAGAGATGTTTCCAAAAGTCCTCTTTGGCAGTGGAGGTGGATTGTGCTTTGAGCTGTGTCTTAAGAAAACACAGACCATAAAGCTGGAGCCCAATTTAGGGTGCACAGTGGAAAGAAAGGCTGTGATGCTGGGCTTTGGGAAGGGAATGATGAAATACTCATCTTTGTAACCCCACTAACTCAGAAGGCACTTTAAACACTTGATCTTCGTTATAAAATGTTACCAATATGAATTTGTTCTGTTGCTTAATTCATTCACAGACACCTCCTATGATAACTGGCAGAGGAGATAGAAATTTCTAATTTATCCAAACAAACAGCCACAGCATTTCAGGTGGTGTTAGCCATGTGCTTGGAAGGTCTGAACTTTTTGTCAGAAATAAACTCTGAGCTATAGGAGCCTCAGAGGGAGTTTGGGAGAAGCTGTTACCATCTTTACTGATCTTGCTCAGGATGTGCACACACACAGACATACAGAAACACCTGTGCACACACCCCCACTGCTGAAGCTGTTTGCATTCAGTTCCTAAAACTGTCCAGAAGCTCTGCTTGATGAAGTGCTCGATCTCTCCAGATTAACTCTTCAGAAAAGCTGTGCTGAGAGAGTCATTACATATGTGGATAGGAATTGTAAAATAGTTCAGAAAAATTCCTAATTCCCAATATCCCATCCAGCCCTGCCCTCTGGCAGTGGAAGCCATTCCCTGTGTGCTGTCCCTCCATCCCTTGTCCCCAGTCCCTCTCCAGCTCTCCTGGGGCCCCTTTAGGCTCTGGAAGGGGCTCTGAGCTCTCCCTGAGCCTTCTCCAGGTGAACACCCCCAGCTCTCTCTGCCAATTTCTGTGTTCTTGGGACATTTGGATGCCTGTTGGTCTGGCCTGAGTCGAGTCTTTATTTTGTGTTTTGCTCTATGCTCCACCAGCATTAATCCTTGGAGAAAACCCAGCTTGTTTGTAAGAACTGAGGTTTCAATATATATCCAGGTAGAAATTTCTGTTAGCTCTGGGAGCAGGTCAGGTGTTACAGGCCTTGAGCAGAAGGAACAGAACAAGTATTTCACTGCTGGGATCATTCTCAGGATAGCTCAGGAGAAAAACAGCCATAAGCCTTCACACTGGGATTGCTGGCTCAGTACCAGAAAGGAAGAGGCCAGAAGCAGACATAGGTATTCATCAGCATTTCAGTCATATTTAACTTGCCAAATTATTAAGTCTCATGAAAGTCATCCTCATTTCCCCCATGTTTGCTGATTGATGATGGTGTATCAGATTGGTAGCATTTTTCAGATATTTGTGTTAGCCAGCCTGAGTCCTGTCTGAAAACTTTGTGAGTTTTGTTATTTTGTTTTGTTTTATTGATAGTCAGAATCTCTTGAGAATTTTCTGGGATTTCTAATGCTTTCAGAACTGCTTCTGTCTCCTTGCTCTGGTTGCTGAGCCTGCCTTGCCTCTCAATTGCCTGACATGAGAGGCAGCTCAGGATTTTAATACCAGCTGTCAGCAAGAGGCTGGAGAGCAGCGTGCTGGAGCACTGAGAAATGTGCATTCTTCAAATATCTTTTCATTACAGGTCCTTCAAATAGAGTCTCTGACCTTCAGGGAGAAAAGGGGAGAAAGAGTCACCTGCCAGCACAGGTATGGAAACTTTCGCAAGAACCAGTCAGAAATGACACTTGGGGAAAAGTGAATATTGTAACTGGCAGAGATAATTATGGGCAGGACATGTCTGTGCACTGAAGGAGTAGGTTTAGAGTCAATCACATTTCCCAGTGCTTTCCTATCTTTAAAGTCATGTTGAGACAGAAACACACAGAACAGAAAAATACAGATTTTTAAAATATGTCTAGAAGTGATATGTAAGCTGAGTTTTATCTGACTTAGTGCTCTCTTAGAGTTACTGAAGTGACTGAATTTCAGCTTTTATGATGCCTACATGTTGTGCTATCCCCAAATGGCAAAAAGCTGCTGTTTTCATTTATTTCTCTTACTTGTGCAGCTCTGGTGGCTGAACTTGACCATGGTTTGAGTCTTGTCTCTGAGGTGCTCCATTCCTGGCTTAGCGTCATATTTTTATTTTAAATTAAGGAAGCTTTACTTGATGAGGGATTGTAAAGTATTCAGTGTTCTTCAGCAAATTGGTACTAAATGAATTCAATTACAACCTCTTCTAGAAGAAATTGCAGAGTTATGTGGTCTCACATACAAAGAGACAAAGCCCTTCTGCTGGTGTATTTAGAAAAACAGTCTGGAGGGAAGAGGGAAAGTTTAGGCTTTTAACAGATAACACCAGACATTTGCATGATTGAAAATTACAAATCCTACATTCATCCAGAAAAATGTAATTCTGTTTCAAGGGAAAAAAACCATGAGTTTTAAAGTTCTACCCTACAGTTCTGTGGGTAAACTCTTCCTCTGTAGAACCCAATGCAGAGCTGCCACAGAGACAGTTTTTCGGTATGCTTTGCTGCTATGAGTAATTTCATGGCTGATGTGCCCATGAATTCCTGAGAGCTGGGCTGGAGGCACTGGGATGGCTCTCTTTGAATGCTGGGTCTACTCTGGCAAAGCCCAAAATGGACAACTGAGAGTGAGATTGTCCAAAAGTTGCACAGGGGCTGTGAGAAGTGACTGAGAGCCACAGAAGTTGATTGAATAAATTCTGGCTTTAGAACCACCACAGAAAAACCCAGCCTCTCGTTTGTGATGCTGATTATCAAGTGAGTATTCACATGTTTGTGGATGTTCCTCCTGCTGCTGAGGCTGGGAGAGCCCAGCACCAGGCAGGAAAGTCCCATCAGCTGGAGTTCCACAGGAATTCATCAGCAGAGTTCTGAAATTCTGCTGTCACACATGGCCCTAACACTCCCAGAGTGCTGCTGAGCAGAGGTTTGGGATTTAGTAGCCCTGGATATCATCACAACCAAGGCTTGGTAGCATGACTTCTGGCAGGAAAGGACAGAAGGGGTCTTTAAAGCAAGATGAAGTGAAAATGAGATTAAATGTCCTATAGATCTTTGCCTCAGTGAGTTATTCCTGGATAATGTGCATGGACATAGGATAAATTTTCCATAAACAAATTCTTCTGTTCTTGTGTGTGGCTTAAACTTCTTTTGTGCTTGGGTAGGAAATAAGGTGGTAACAAGCATGGTTTCTGTTACCTTGAAAAGGGCTAAAAGAATATTTTTGGATGCCAGGAGAGCATGTTCAGTGGCTTAATTAGGGTTTCAGCCCAGGTCTTGGAGTGTCTCTGCAGAGGCCTCCCAGCACAGGGTAATACATCACTAACATAAAATCCTAAAAATAAAAGAAAGGAACAAAATCCCAATAACACCACCAGCCTCTGAAATAATGAGGCTCAATTTTAGTGTCTCCAGAAGGTGTTTTGTTCTCCCTGTGTGCTGCTGCCCCTGATCCTCTCCCACAGTGCCACACATTGTCTCTGTGTCCTGGTTTCCAGCACACAAATGTGTGTTCCTGGAAGTCCCTGCATGGCATCCTCATCCAGCCTGGGAGCATGCTTGTACTTGGCATTCCCCTTCCCTGGCCCAACAGGGAGAAGGTGGAATTTTGCCCCTCTCCCACAGAATGCTGCAGCAGAACACAGGAATGGGGCAGGAGATGGATGTGTAATCCTTGGAGGGGCACTGGGAGGGTTTGTGTGAGAGGAAGAGGATGAGGAGGACATATTTATCTGAACTGTTCTAAGTGGAGAAGCAGCACCTGCTCTGGCAGCTCCAGCACAGAAAGATCTTCATCTCTTTTGTGGAGCAGGAGATCAGTGAGGCACAGAGACCCCATTGAAAGTCAAGGAAAAAGTTTGACTCTCCCCAGAAGATCTTTTCCCTGTGATCCATGGTGATTTCAGCACCCTTTTGGGGCTGGCTCTGGGTATCATGAAGACTCTAAGACACATGTCACCGGAGTAGTACGTGCAGCTAGAGGAGCTTGATCCCATGCCTGCTGTTCATTTCATTTCCAAATAAGAGTTGTGCCTGCTAGCAGCAAAGCTGTGCTGTGACAGGTCCTTTCCCCACCGCCTCACTCTTACCTCACCCACATAAAAAAGCAGGATTTGGGTCAAGTGTTCATGGAGTCAGTCATCCATATGGATTGGATGTCTGGGGGAACATGAATGTTTAATCAGACATTTGTTAGCAAGCTAAAGAGGTGTCGTGGTGCCAAGCACGGAGTGTTGGAACATTCCCTGCCTGCTGTCACTATGGCAACAGCCAACAAATGCCTGCTTGGGTTATGTCAGCACTGGAGATGAAGAAAAACCTCCAAATCATAAATTCTGCTCACCAGTGGCTGGCCTGGAACCAAAGAAGGTACTGCCATTTTCCAAACTTATTTGTCTGCCTGACTGATAGGTTTTTTTTCAGGTGCTCTGTCAGTCATCAAGGAGCAGAAATGGATAGCACGTCCATCAACCACATGGACTGAATTTTAATTGCAGTTACTGGGCAAAAATATTCAGCTTTTCTCGAGTTGGCCCAAATATGTTCATTAAAAACTTAGTGAAGCATATATATATATATATATAATTCAAATAGCAAAATACTCTGAGCCAAGTTCTTCTTGTGAGAAATACATGGCTTGCAATGTTAATTTGGCTGGCTTTGCTGCTAGAGTGAATAACAGCCAGGCTAGCCTCTGTAAAATGTGTGTTTCTGCTGGGCTCCTTGAGAATTCCCTTAGGGAACAGGGACAGGCTTGTCTTAGGGATTCCTCTGGCACAGACCTAATGTTCCTTTCTCTAAGGGAGCCTTATTTCCCCATAACCCAGCTCCCAGTTTAAAATGACACAGGGGATCTTGCTCTGGTGCCTTTCCTGTCAATGTCTTTTTCTTTTCTCCCTTATCCTCTGAGTAATTCTTTAGAAGCAGCTCAGGCAGAACCTTTCAGAGGAGGCATTAAAGAAGGAAGATAATTCCCAGTGGCCTCCCTGCCCTCCTTCCTCACCAAATATCTGTGCTGGGTGAGAAGCTGAGGCTTGATGAATGTTCCCACCTCCCCCCAGATCTGCCATCTGCCTTCCCGCTTTGTTCTTGGGAACAATCTGGGAAAACACACAGCCTTTGGGAGCATTATCTCCCTGAGGTGAGGGGCAATGGAAGTATCAGAGCAGCTGGGTAAGCCCTGCTGGGTCTGGTGTGGAGCTGGCAGGTGAAGCAGAGTCACCTGGGCCACCAGCAGATGCTGTGCTTTTGGACTCTGTGTCTCTGTCTCTCACTGTGACTTGTGAGATTCACATAATCTGCAGCACACACAGCTGCAAAAATTATCAGAGGAATCTTATTTTCAGATTTATATTGCCTATGGATTAATGAGACTGAGGAATCTGCCAGAGATACCCAAAGACTTTTAAATATTTTATCTTAACTCTGAAGGTTTATTCCTCTGCTCGTATCTTAGCACACAGAATTCTGTCTCTGGAAGGAAATTAATGGGAAGTGTTTTATTGCTAGATTATAGTGTTTCAGAAAATTCTCTGTCATAACCTGTCCTGGTAGGATTCTGAGGCTAAGTGGCTACTTTCTGCATTATGAGTAGGATATGTAGGCATGCATATCTTACTCTTGTAAGATCTTGGAGCCCTGCAGTGTCAGAGAACGACTGGTGCACTGGCAGGAAAGGTATTCAAGTGCCATACATATTTTATATCCTCTGTCTTGTGCAATTTGGGTTAATTGAATATTAGTTACATTCTTGGACAGTATGCAACCCTCATTCATTCAACAAAACCCCTGATTAGATTTGGACAGTGTCAAACTGTTGATAATCTGTTTGGAAAAGCAGAAGATGAGATTGGATGGATGTGGGGTTGTGCAGATAATTTATCAGCCTGGTTTGAATACTCCCTGCATGGTCTCTTACCAGGGTCCTGTGTGCCCCAGGTGACTGCAGGTTACATGCACTGCTGTAATCTTGTGGCTTTTAAATGGTCAAGAGGCAGCTGTGGTCCCTGCTTTATATTAGGCTGTTGAGTAGCACTTAACAATGGGCTTTTTAATTTTAATTTACTTAAAAGGGCAGTTTAGCCATTGAAAGTAAATTAAAATTAAAAAGCCCGCTGTTGAGTACTACTGATTGCATTGTTGACACGCTTTAAAATGACTGCATCCTCTTTAAAATGCCTGTTAAAAAAGAAAAACTTCTGGAAAATAAATTCAATAGTGCTTTAAGTACTATTTTTTTGCTGGGGGATAGCAATATTCAGCCACAGATAGCAATGCTAAAATGCAGGTAGTTAAATAAAGACCTGGTCTGTTTCCCATGGAACAGTAAACTGACTTTTTTTTTTTTCATTGCAATGACTTTAAATTGCCACATTTTTGAGAAGTAACTTGAAAATGAGCTGTTGGTACATAGCCTTTTGAAAAATAAAGCTGATTACTTGATTGCCTACATTTTGGCACCCATATTGAACACCCCTGCTATATTATTCTAACCACTAAAGACAATCATTCCCAGAGGATGTGACTGAGACAGTACAAAGCAATTCAAAGCTGCATCTCAGGGGAAAACAATTTATTGTTATTTTCATGAAAACTTGATGATGAGAGTGAGTGGCTTGTGAAAAGTGGCTGTGGATAACACTCCACAGTGCTCTCACCAAAAATTTGAAACTTTCTGATCTATGGCCAGTGTAGCAAGTTCCAACCTCCTTTTGATATGGCAGTTTGAATGCTGAGGCGAGCAAAGAGGGCTTCTTTTTTTGTGTGTGTACTTACTGTAACCTCTTCAGGAAAGGTGGGAAATAAAAGGGCTGTATTGTTAGTTTTGGAAGATATGACTGAAAATAATTTTGTGCTTTTCAGGTGGATAAGGCTCAAACACTTGCGTTGTGTTCTTTAAATCAATATCTGTCTGTCCGTTGGTCTGTCTGTCTTGAGAGATTGGGAAATCCTTAGATTAACTTGTTCCATGCTGATCAGACCAGTGCTGTGCTGGAGTTGCCCATCTGGGGTGCAGCCACTGTACTGTCCCTCTGAATTTGGGGTTAAAGGAACAAGGAACCCCCTCAACCATCACAAAGAACCTGATTTTTGAGGAAGTGCCTCTAGCTGTGGTTTGGCCATGCTGGCACCCAGAGGGTATTTCAGGAGGGAAGCAGAGTCCTGCCAAATCCGACTGAAGGTGTTCCATAGATCTGGTGGCCTTTAAACCCCTTGCAGAAGTTCAGGCAAGTTTGTTGTTGGCGCCACACAGGAGAGTGGTGATGACCATGTGCAAAACCCCTTGGTGCTGCATAACATCCTCATGAGAATTCCTGCACACAGAGGGAACACAGGGAGAAGAGAGTATCTGTATGATTTGTGGACTTATATTTTTGAGAGACATGTGAGAGTTACATGGAAAATGCATTTGGATGTTGGTCTGGGAACACGAGATGTGTCTGTTCTACTTCACACAGCTCTTACATGATGGCTGTGTACTCTGATGGCCATGACAGCATTAAAATTGAAAGGTGAAGAAGGATCAGACGCATCTGTTTTTCACCCCAGTACAAGCACTGAATAAACCAGAAATTGATGCACTGCGGGGAAGTGTTGGTTACTGTGGTTACTGTGCTGGTGCTGAGGTCCAGCCTGGCTTCCCTGCTGGCCATGATCCAGGGCTGAATTGGGGTTTTCTGACACGTGAGGACCCTCTGCCTTATCCCTAACCCTAGAAAATTGTGGTCACTGTGTCCTGGTCTGATGCTCAGTCTGAGACACAAAATTTGAGGTGTCAGAGAGAAAAGGGAGAGTAGACGAAGAGCAGAGGCAAGAGATGGAGAGGAAGCAAAGGGTTTTATTTTAGCACAATTACCAGGGAACTGGAAAGCTCTTGTCAAGGAGTTCACCATCAAGAATGGCGAATTTCACCATTTTACCATCAATTCACCATCAAGAATGGTGAATTTCACCATTTCACCATCAATTCACCATCAAGGCGTTGCCTCCACCTCCACAGACGGAGTCAACAGCCTAACAAACAACTTTGTTCAGGAATAAAACTTCCAAGAGCATGTTTCTTACATCCCTCAGATGTAAGAGATTTTGTCCTTTGTTCTGAGACAAATTGTAGCTGTAAATGGAAAAGAGGTTATTCAAGTAACTTTAATTGCTCTTTAGTTTTGGGGCCCTTTCCATGTCTAATGAAAATTTTCACAGAATCCTGGTGTGATATCACTACTGTATTAGTTATTAGGCCTACTTCACACTGAAGTCACACATCACCAAAGGAGGGGGTTGAAGTGGACATTGAACATGTTTCTGACACTCTGTGTTTGTCATACTTCACAATTCTGGATTATTCATTGTAATATCTAGCGCAGAGTTTGTATTTTCATTAAGCTCCTGTTCCTGCCAGGGTGTTAGAGCTGCTTTTACATCTTGCTGCACAGTTGAGAGTGATGGCTGGGGAACACTTGCAGCCTTTTGCATTTCATCAAACTGTTAATGGATTCTGCTCAGATGGCTGTCCACTCCATCACAGGCAAATGATAGCATTCTCCAAAGCCTTTTTAAGTTAAATAGGATTGATTAGTGACAGGGCAAAATGTAAATGCCTGTTAGGATTTTTTTAATGTAGTACACTTAAACTTAGTGTCTGACTGGAATAAGAGCAAAAATTATAGATGTGACTTGAGCCACCATTAACTACTTCTATTAGTTATTAGATTAATTATTAAGCAGTACTCTATCATTTTGTGTAATAGACACCTCAGTCATTTGTTATGGTGCATCTTCTGTATTTTATGAAACCATTTCCCTACATTTACATGTCACTCACCAGTAAATGAGGCTTGTCCCTGGGAAACCTAAGGAGGAGGCTGAGAGATCATGGCTTGTTATTCCATTTTAAGGAGACAGTTGTGCTGGGGTGAATCAGCCTGGGGCAGGGGGAAGGTGTGTGAGAAACCCTGCTGGGTGGGGGTGAGGTGTTCCAGGTCCTCCCTCTTGGTTGCAGGTGTTTCATTGAGGGTGTTTGCAGGGCTGATTCCTTCAGGTGGAAACAGTAAAGTGCTTTTTTGCTGTGGCTTCTTTGTAGACACTGAATATTCTACTCATTCACTTCCCTAGTACTTTATACCCGTGTGAATCTGTTTTTATTAAGGTTCTTCTTTTCCTTTATACACCTGAACATTGTTTCATGTGCTCTGGCATTTCCTATCACTTCAGTTAAGCACTCTTTATTCAAGGAGCTTCCTTTGCAGTCCTCAAGCCTCCCTCTCCACGTGGGTACCTGTGGGTTTGGGGATTGCTCTGCATTTACACCACATAAAGAAAGGTACCCAGCTGATGACGTTTGGTTTGTTTTACTCTCCCTTTTGTACCAC